GGTCTCTGAGGAGTGACAGGCTAGATCCTGACCTTGGCTTCAGAGCTGGCCTGGGATTTACTTTTCCCCAAAGCCATTCTTAGTTGTTTGTTATTTGTTGTTTGCTTATTTTTAAAATATTTTATTTATCATTTTTATTTTATGAATATGAATGTATTGCCTGCATGTATGTGAGTGCACCTGTGTCATGCAATGCTGCGGAGGTCAGAAGAGGGCTTTGGATTGCCCTGGAACTGGAGTTAAGGATGGTTCATAGCTGCCATGTGGGTGCTGGGAATCGAATCCAGGTCCTCTGCAAGAGCAGTCAGTGCTCTTAACCATGGAGCCATCTCTCAAGCCCCCCAGACAATCTTTTTCATCTAGATACCCATTTCCCAAATGTCACCCTCCCATAGCCTCCCCTAACCCACTGGAGCCCATACACTCTGTCATCCCTGCTACTGTCCACTGTGTTGTTGGTGCCCCCAGCCATTCTCCAGTGCTTGTCCATCTGCTGAATTTATTCAGCCTATCTAGAGATCCTTGTTTTAGGGAGATCAGCTCCTCCTCATCTAGCAGCAATCAGTCGCCAATATTCCTTTAGATAAGATTAGGGTCTGCTGTACAGTTCTATTGTATTGACCAAACTGACTCCATTTTGGATAAAGTAGCCATCTTAGAAGCTTAGCCATAGTGTATTTCTAGCTCAAAGATAAACCAATTTCTTTTTACTCTTAAAGTCATTTGAGGATCTGTTCCTCAGGGGTCACATGGGCTTGGGAGGAGCCCGTGGCTCCTTTCTTTTACCAGTTCTACTTATGTGAAGATAACTAAAAAGTCCTGCTCGACCATGGCTGGCTTCACTTGGAAGCATGGAGGAAATGTTTCCTCTGTGTTGACTCTCCTCTTTGTAGACTGGACATTGGTTCATGTCCATCTCGTGGGGTCTCCTTGGCCTCCTTGATTAAGAAAGAGGACAGGTGACTCACCACAGTTACAGGACATTTTGAGAGATGCTCATAGTCGACCTAGGAGGCAAGGAGCAAAAACTGTCCTTCATGTCCTTCTGACCAAATTAGTATAAGCCTCAAAGTATGTCTGTTAAACATCCAACAAGGTTAGTTCCACCAGTGTGGTACTTTTAATTACCATGTGCCATGTAGATAAAGCTTGGGTAAAGACCAAATGTTCTCAGATAAACCTTGCCTAGACATATTCTCCCTCCCTCCCTCCTATTTTTTTTAAAATTATTTATTGGGTTGGGAGAAATATCTCAGTGGTTAAGAGTACTTGTTATTCTTTCAAAGG